GTTTGGATGAAGAATTTTACAAATTCAAGGAATTTTAAATTCTTGGTATTTGAATTACTTTGATTTCAATTTTCATCATTCTTAAAATATTTTGTTTGGATAAGTCAATTCAAATTTCTCAAATTTTAAATTTATGGGTTAAATATGATAATTTGATTCTACCATGATAAATTTGATTTTAAAAATATATTTATATGTTGAGATTCTTAAATTAAATTTTATAAAATTAAATATTAACTAATTTTTAAATATTTAATAATTTTAAAATTTAATATTAGATAATATTTAATAATTTTAAAAATATTTTTAAATATTCAATAATTAAAAATATGAAGAGATATGAGATAAGATAAAATATATAAGTGAAATATGAAGAAAAAAAATATGAGGAATTTCAAATTCTTACTTTTTTGGGAGAATTTGAAATTCTACTATTTCAAGGAATTTCACAAATGCTTGAATTTCAAATTCTTTATAAATTCTCCATCCAAACAAGGTATTTCACCTCAAAGAATTTGAAATTCTTCAAATAAATGAATTACTCCATTTAAATTCTCCATCCAAACACACTATAAGAGTCTAAGAAATTAGCCCCCATATTAGTAAAAACTTGTTGAATTATATAGCTCCAAATGTTGAAAGTTTATAAATTAACTACTTAAGGATGTTACTGAACCTGTATCGGATATTCTGTCGTTCAATTTGGATTTAAATCAAGCACACAAAATTTCACTCACATCCTTGCTCATAATGACTAGGCTTAAATATGTTTCTAGTCCTTTAAATTTAGAATAAATGTTTTTTATCCCTTAAATTTAAAATTATTATTTTTAGTCTTTATAATTTTGAAAAATCTTATTTTAATTCTTATATTCAAATTTTTTAAAGAAATTTATCAAATATTATTACATAAAATTTACATATTGGATGAAAATATCACATTAAATTTAATTAATATTGTGTAACCATCTTAATTTATCACTTTTAGATATGTTATTGGTGAACTGAGAAATTAAAACAAAATTTTTAAAAATTATAAGGACTAAAAATAACAATTTTAAATTTGAAGGATAAAAATAAATTTATCTTAAATTTGAGGTACTAAAATCATATGTAAGCCTAATTATTAATATAATAATTTATGGTATTTTGTTATCATGATATAGAAAGATGAAAATAGACAAAGAAGAAACTATTGATTCAAAAAAATCTAAAAGAATTGAGAAATTAATTAAGGATAAAAAATTAAGTTCAAATTTATAGAAAACTAAAATTAAAAATCGAGAGATTTCTAAGAATTATAAAATGTGTTTTTAAAATGACATAAATAACATTTTATCACCTCACATGATTGATATGTATTCATCAAAAAAGAAAATATGATTGACATGTCAATATACACATTGCCGCCTCATCACTTAACAAACTTTACTGAACCAAAAATTAAAAGCATGTCACATGATTATATGGACGAAAAAATATTCAAAAATTATAATCGTCAACAAATATTTAAGATGTTAAAAAAGTCCAAATAACCATAATAAAAAAAACTAAAAAAATCACCATAAAAATAAGGGTTTAAAAGCATCTTTAATCTGAAAAAAAAAATCAAATTCTTCATCATGACTTTTAGGGAAATCATAACCCGATATCAACAACTAATTTGTATCTCACAAGATCAATGGCTCCAAAAGCTTGGAGGTACTTAGAGGACCTTAATCGTCCGTAGGATATATTAAAAAACGACACAGCACATAACATTTTTCTTTTGATAAAAACATTTTTTTAATACTTAGCGTATTATAAAAATAAAATATTTAAAAATATGACAGGCTCCTTAGTTCTGTTCTACTCATATGTCACAATTGTTCCAAATAAAAAAAAAATAAAAAATAAAAAATAATCTTAGGACAAAATTGTTTATTACTCTTTCTAGCTAAGTTAGTGGTTTACGTGTTAGAATGTGTTGATGCTTGTGGTCCTGGTTCATAGTAGACCAGAACAAGGGAGTACACTCAAATGTCCAATTTATAATTTATTTATTAAAATACATTTAAAAGTGTGGCCTATGTGGCTATGTATATAGGTGGACTCCCCCAAATGTCCACATAACATTTAATTTAGGCCAAAATCAAACTTTAAAAAGACTAATGAAAATAATTATTACAATTAACCTAATTTTATTTGAAAATTTTGTTTGAATTTTACAAAAAAAAATATAAAATCATCAAATAATAAGATATAAGTTTGTTATTAATAAAGAAAAGAAAATATAAATATGTAGTGATAACATATACAGTATAATATATTGTGAAGGAAAGAGAGCATAGTAATAATCCATAAAGAAAATAAAAGGACGAAAAAAAATATTTTTCATGAAAAGAGCAAAAATTGTAATAAGATGAACACTCTATTTAAAAAAAAAATATTAGGTTTGTTAGAGGTGTTTGCTTGCACAATAAATCCTTCTTATCAAATTTGATTTTGCATTAGTGTTAGAAAAACATTTGATCGATAAAAATCAATTTTATGAATATAAATTAATTTTAAATTATCAACTTTTATAACATGATTAGAACATATCTATAATATAAAATAAAAAATAGAGTGTTTGATAAATGTTCCATTGATTGGAATGGTACCAAGAAGGGAGACAAGTACATATGTATTGGTACATGACACCACCATGATTAATTATAAATGACTTTTCCAAACCAAACCAAGGTGTGACTCAGCCAAAGAAAAAAAGTATCTAGTAGCTAACAAAGTACCAAGCAACATAGTAACATATAGCGTGGTGCCTTAGGCAAATATAAAATCAACATGCTTTGTCATTTGAAAAGTAATATTAATGTCTTAGTGGTTGTGACTTGTGAGACCAATCTGAGAGACGAAAAGACACATTTTGCACATGAGGATCAAACTGTGTCTTAGGATCTGCATTGACCAGATACTGGAACATCAGATAACACCTCTCATCTGCATATGATCCAATTATCCATATACATGCAATTGATTACAAATGAGAATAAAAGTTGCAAACAGAGAAGAACACTTGAAAGACTTGTTTTATCACCATCTAGTAAAGTCGACCAGGCGAGCAAACCCACAACTTATTGGGCCATAAACGACCTAACCCTCGCCCAAGAGAGGAAAATTCTAATTCACACCAAGGTACATGCACTATATACATGAGACCCATACACCTACATAAACTAACTTAAGCATCAGTGTCTCTTTTGCAGGTACCACCCCCATCTCAGAACAACCGACGTGCCAGGCAAAAGAAGCTGACCAATCTCATCTGAAGTCGTCCCTAGATCAATTTCAGGTGAGAACATTTATCATTGGAGTAAATTTATGTATGAGTTATTTAATACTGACGTGACATACTAAAGACTACTTTTTACACTTTTTAATGTATGAAGCAACTCAAATAAATTACTTTCATTGGAAATGCTCTTAAAAAGAAAGAGTACTTATTCCATGACACTTCAAATTTTTGCAATTAGTCTGCAGTATCCTGCTATATATTGACCTAAATTTGATATATTGACATATTCTAGAAATTCAAAATTGGGGGACGTGGTTCCAACCCAATAACATCATCAGGTTTGGTATTGATACAAAGTCATTAATCATTTTGACCTTAAGTTTTGCACAATCTTCAAGATGTTATTGGGTTGAGTTATAAGTATACAGCTTAAGGTTTTTTTTTTTTTTAATACTATTGTTGTTTGAAAAAACAAAACAAAACAAAATTAGTTCAAAACCTTACCAGAATGGGGTCATCCATGCTTACTATCTGGTATCATTGCTTTCATAGGTTTAATGGATAAACCTAATTAGTCAATGTTGTTGTGAGAAGATGGATAATTAAGCAAGTGTGAGAAGCTCTATGATGTGATACTTTATAAATTTAACATTCCTTTTCCTTTTATAATGCCATTTTTGGTTGTGAAATTAGAGTCTGCACATGATGTGCAATTATATCTACTACCTATAAATATTTTTTCTTTCTTCAACCTTCATGATTAATCTCTTTTTTTTTTTCAGTTCCTTAACTCTTTTTACCCATCACCTTTTCCCCTGCATTAACCGTCTTAAATGCCATTCGTGCGAAGTGGAATATAGGAAAGCAGAAAACAAGAAAACAAGTTAAAATGAAATTACTAATAGTATTTAAATGGACTATGCTTTACGTTGAATGTTTAATTTACATTACGTTAAAAGGTTATTGGTTGAGGCCAGTCTAATTGGCTTAGCTACTTTTTGATAGTCCAACTAGCTAACTTTGTGCTGCTGCTGCCTACAAAGGAAAGTTAAACATCTCACTTTCATTTTATTTTTCTATCTGTTTCTTTGATTATTATCCCATATATCCACAAATCCTTAATCTAGTAGGATTTGATTCGATTTCTTTACATAAAATCTCGGATTTAAGTCATATGTATATATAAAAATAAAAAATAAAAATTGAAATGAGATTCTATTATGGATGGCTAATTAGATTTTTCAATAGAGATTAATCATTAATAAAGTAAGTAAGTATTTTTTTATTAATAATATAATTAAAAAAAAAAATTATCCCATAATTTGTAATATATTTTGTTTTCTCATTTTTTTTCTCTCTTTTTTTAATTTATCATTATCTCATGCAATGATAAAGTCAATTGCTAATACCAAATCTTAATTAGTTGGAGCAAATAACTTAACTAGATGTATCATTGAAAACTTTTTTATCTCTCTTCTTTTCATCTATACGCCCCCTTTTTCATGAATGTCATAACTCATAATTTTATTAGCTAGGTTATTTTCACGAATTCACCTGCTTGTTTATTATGGATGAAGACTAAAAACCCAAAACTGAAAGCAGAAAAAACTTTGGGCCTTTTATATTTGCAAACATGGGCCAAATTAAATGAACAATAGTTAGTGGAGGGAGTTTTGCTATATTTGTAGTCCTTTTCATTTTTGGTATAGGTTACTTGTAGTGCTTTTATGAATACATATCTCTCTTTTTTTTCATTTTTTTAAAAATATTTTCTTAAACTATACTTACATCCTTCTCCCTTTTATGTAAAACTAATTTTGGAGTGTCCCTCGCAACCAAAAATAATTCTGGAATGTTAAATTATATTCCTAAACTTGTGAAAGTATCTAATAAAAGATTTTAAAAATTAATTTTAATATAAATATATATATATATATATATATATATATATATAAATAGATAG